CGCTATGAACGTTATTTATTTATTTATTTGTATTTGTATAAACATGTGTTGCAATAGCTGGTACAATATCTCATAAGTTTGGTATCAACAATTTTATACTTGTACAACCCGTTCGCTCTAAGTTTGCCGGTCTGTGGAATGCGCGTACCCTCCCCTACGTGACAACAAAACTTATAATGTGTCATAGTTTTACCCAAATATGTACGTACACAATTTTTATTGTTACAATTAAATAAAAAATATTTTTATATTATGTTTTGCTGACGCTACTTTTCGAACGTCATACCTATCGCCAGCGGCAAACTTAAAACGAGCGGGTAGTATACTTGTGAGCGCGCAGTCTCTTTGATAAAAGCCGCCTCTGAATTAGACGCTATAGTTGTCAACAAGCGACTTTCGACTCTAACTTCAAAGGATAAAATCGATATTGTTTACAACGCAATTTTTAAATTTCTGTTTTTATTTTTGCTTTTTGTTTATCAAAGGTGCCGACTCGAATATTTTCGAGAATATTTGAGATCGAATCTAGGACTAAGTATAAAAGCGGCGATCGCGCGTCGCGCGTCGTCATTCGCACAGGCCCTCCTCATTCATTCACAAGCCGCAAACCGTGCAGAACAGGAACAGGAACGATTGTGCATTATTTAAACCCCACTATCCTGACGTGTAACATTATAAATAAAGAAGAATGGCACGTTGGCTTAAACGTGTTAAACGTGTTGCAACAACATCTTCTAATGACGCTGAATGTTCAAAAGCAGTACGCGCGGAGAATATAACAATCACCGATCCAGAAGATGATGCCACGACGTCAAGCTCGACGGTTTCAAAGACGAAAAGAAGGAAGTATGATGAATCTTATATCAGTTTCGTATTTGTTGATTCCAACGGCTCACCTCTCTGCATGCTCTGTAGTAAACTGCTTCCTAATAGTTCCATGGCACCTGCCAAATTGCGCCGACATTTAGAAACTGTACACCCCGAGTCTAAAGACAAGAATAAAGTATTTTTTGTTCGCAAAAAAGATCAGTTATTAGAAAGTCAAAAAAATATTATGCATGTAACACAAACTATCAACGAAAAGGCCACGGAGGCATCATATTTAGTTAGCTATCGCATTGCACAAGCAGGTGAAGCGCACACTATCGCTGAGAAATTAATAAAACCATGTGTATTAGACATAACAAAATGTATGCTCGATGAAAAATCTGCAAAGCATCTTTCTACTGTTCCGCTATCAAACGATACTGTTTCACGACGAATCCATGATCTGGCAAGCTACGTCAAACAAGAACTAGTTACACGTCTACAAAATACACGATTCGCCTTGCAAATGGACGAGTCGACTGCTGTCGCTGGTTTGGCTATCCTGCTGGTTATTGTGAGATATCCATATAAAAGTTCTTTTGAAGAAGACATGCTTATGTGTTCATCGCTGCTTACAAACACTACCGGGGAAGAAATTTTTAATAAAATAAATATATTTTTTGAAGAAAATAATCTCAGTTGGAACAATTGCATTGACATTTGTACAGATGGGGCCAAGGCGATGACAGGTAAAACAGCAGGAGCAGTGTCACGAATGAAAAATAAAGCGCCTAATTGTAGTTCCAGTCATTGTATTCTGCATAGACAAGCACTTGCGATGAAGCAAATGCCGTCAAATCTAAAATTAGTTATGGATGAAGCGGTAAAAATAATTAATTTTATCAAATCACGACCACTACAATCCCGATTGTTCTCATTATTGTGTGAAGATTGTGGCAGCAAACATAAAACACTGCTGCTCCATACAGAAGTGCGATGGCTGTCTCGGGGTAAAACTTTAACAAGGCTATTTGAACTTAGAGCCGAGTTACAAATGTTTCTTTCAGCAGATACTTCTTTTAATTTGAAGGACCGTTTGTATGATAAAACTTGGTTGTTCCGATTGTCTTTTATGGCGGATATCTTTCAAAAACTTAACGAATTGAATTTATCGTTGCAAGGTAAACAGACAACAGTGTTTCAGGCCTATAATAAAATAACTGCTTTTAAAAGAAAATTAGATTTTTGGATCATTTGCATTGGTAAGAAAGAAATAGAAAGCTTTACGTTACTCAGTGAGTTTGTTAGCGAAAACGACTCAGAAATGTTTGAAGATGATGTGTTTGATGAATTGGTCCAATATCTCAGTTCGATGCGCGCATCTTTTGAAAAGTATTTTCCCGAAGAACACAATACAAAAATTAAAGTGAATTCATGGATTCATAATCCTTTTTTACCCAACTTGGAAAAGCCTGAAAACATGTCAAACGTGATATATGAATCTCTTTTAGAAATGTCATCAGACACAAGTATGGAGTCACTGTTCAAAACTTAGACTATGGAAACTTTTTCCATCCTCTAAGGTTCAAAACGACGCCTCTCAATGATTTTTGGCCAAATGGCTCTGGATATTTTTCTCCCGTTCCCAACTACATATTTGTGCGAAACAGGATTCTCTACAGGCAGCCACGAAAACAAAATATCGCAATAGACTGGACGCCGAAGCTGATATGAGACTCCAACTTTCTTCCATCAAACCTGATATCAACCAATTGATGAAAAATAAAAAACAGTTTCATACCTCCCACTAGTTAGATATTTTCTTTTTTAATGTTTTCTATTATTGTCCTTGCCAAGTGGTGAAGTAAATAATAATTAGTAACTGTTACATTGTACTTTTATTATGCTGATTAATAAAAAATTCACTTATAAAAAACAATTGTTTTATTGTAGGGTTCCATCAAGTATTTTGCTTCCCAAAAGGGTTCCGTCATTTAAAAAGTTTAAGAACCACTGCTCTAAGGAATATCAGTGCCTAAGACGAGTTATGCCCTTTTGTTTTTATTGCACCGTTGGCTTCAGCGTGTCCGATTACATAACATATCAAAAGGACATGTTTCTAGTTTCTTTCTTTCTCCTAACCTCGTTATTGATATTGGACTTAGGGCATAACTCACTGTTTCTAATGGCATAATATCGGGCATTTTTTATGAGTCTAATGGTACAAGTGCTCCCAACTCAAACAATACATTTAAGTTTAATGAATAAAACAAATATACTTTTACATAAAGACACTTTTCGTGTTGTTCCATAATGACGGAGGAAAAAAGTAGAACTAAAAGCGACTATTCCCTTATTCCATAGTAAAGGCATAACTCACTCAACGCAGTTACTTTCGCATTTATAATATTTTATTTATTTAGTTTGGATTGGCTTAAGTTGATGTTTTATCAAAACGACAACAAATAATTGGGTTGAAAATAATTGAAACCAGGACGTACTTTGAATCCAGAGCATGATGCCTGTTACAACAACTTAATAGCGTCTCAGAACAGTGTGAGTGTTTATTCGTGTTATAATTATAATTTTGGTGCAAAAATGTATAGAGGGCGAAAAATAATCAATAATCGTCCCAAAATGGTAAGCATGAGAATAAAATTATATTATTATATATAATAAATATGTCATTTTGTCAACCGTTGGGCGAATACCTACTTTCTTACAGTTATAATAGAAACATCTGTAAATTAAAAGGTAGGAACCATGTTTGCCCTATTATTAAGACCAACTTATTTTTATTTGATAAGTGTCACTATAATTTATTTTGAGAGTAATGTCTGTTCCTTTTTTTATTAGAAATCCACCCGAATCGTTTGATCATAGCTCAGTGATACTGAATAATATCGCGATCGATAGGGAACCAATGACGAATATATTACTTATATCAATACTTACATATAATATTTAATTACAAACCTATGACTAAGTAGATTAATGTAAGTAACCTATAGTTCCTACAATAACAACTTTTAGGTACAATTTATATGTACCTATACATTTTTCTTATCAATCAATCTTTTGTTATTGTTTTATTGGTCATGTATACAGTTATTTACATTTTTTTTCTTTCATTACAGAGTTAATTATGGATCAAGAAAATGGAATTATTGAACCAAGAAGCAATAATGCTTGTGACGTAAATTTGCTACTTTTACAATAGCGATATATATATAATATTGTGAATAGTGAACGAAAGAACCGGTAACATCTAGTGTAAAAATATTTTCTAAAGATTTTGATTCCAGAGATTCGGAAGGTCGAGTACTCAATGTTCGGAAGAGTCAAAGATCTTAGTTTTTTGTTGACAAACAGATCCGACAAACTTCTTCTCATAAGCTTGAGAAAAAGAAGGATCTTCTGGTTCTTCTATAACTGACAGTGAATGTCATGAATTTTATCTACCAACTGCCAAAACGGTAAGAGCCGGTGAAGACTCAAATTTAAACAATTATAATTATTTCATCGACAAATATACAGATTAATGTAACATACAATACATTTTTCGTTATTTTTACCGCACAGTTGTTTTCATACACATTTTTTATTTGCTTGAATAAGCATTATTTCTTTGTTTGTGATAAATATGAGTGTAATAAGTATTGTTATAACTATAGAATAGTTGCGTCGCAGCTAAAGGAATAAGTCGTTTTATGTCTTAAAATTTGTTAACATAAGTCGGGTTGCATCTTTAAGCTCTTTTCGTAAACAAGGACACAACTCTAAAAAAACTTTCAAAAATATAGAAATAATGACTGGATGTTTAACCAATACCCATCAAACAAAAGCTTAAACGTATACATGAAGCTAGAAATCATAAAAAATGCTTATAATAAATGCGAACAACCAACAATCAATAAAAGTATGGTTTTTGTCTCTCCTGAAAAGTGTCGAATTTTAGTTATTCAGTTTTTCACTGGAGGCACTGATATTATAGTAGGGATAATGAGAGATGTGATATGTTTTAACGTGTATCCGAAAAAAAAATTACCATTTCCGTTCAAGTTGACAACGTTCCGAAATAATAAAATTTGTGTTTGCTGTCTATGGTTCAAAAACTCGATTTCTATTGGTTGAACATGCGTACTGAAATATGGCGGTTCTAGGTCACTTCCTGTTATGTGTTGGTGAGTGCATGGCCTCGACGTTGATCCCGTTCCAAGATTTTTACAGCAACGCCGATATTCCTGTTTATATGTAATATTTACCGTGGAATAATTTGTGATGATGTTCTCAAACAGGCCATGGATTTGATGAAGACGGTAAGAAAGTTATAAATACTGTTTTATTACGTTTTTAATTTGTTTGGCTTTTGTTTCTTGTTTTGGTGATATTGAAACTGGCCATTACATTAGAAAAAATATCTCTTTCCAGAATTTGTGTGCTCGTGGGAGGTAAGTGTCGATAGTAATCAATAGATATACACTGTCCAGTTTCGGGTTCACACAATAAAATGGGCTATAAGTTGATTTATCAATACTTCGGATGGCAACCGGCAACCGAGCGTTGTTACGCCATCTTAAAGTCCTCCAAATGTTACGCGTATTTTGCAGCTTTGCACTGATGCAAGAGGCGCTTACATGCTGAAAATCATGCTTAAATCTAAAGGGATTGAGATGGAAGTTGATACTAAAAGACATTGGTAATAGGTATGTCGTTTTCTCTATTGCATCTCAATATCATGACTTGACAAACCACATGTGCAAAGAAGGATTTGTTGTTGTTATTTAGTCGGTACAGCAGAAATTGCATAATATATTTTGTACATTAGATGGTTAACGAATGTACAGTATATTTGTATAGGAGCCAGTGTTTGTGCAGTGACTAGTGAGATGTTGAAAACCCATAACCTACAAAATGTGACAGGTTGCAAGATACAAGTCTAATGTTCACTGGAGAGTCACTTCAGTCCACTTTGCCATATTCAAGGTTACTTTTGATAGAAATCAGTGTAGTTGTTCTAGAGTAATGATAAGTAAAGTTTTGATGAACTCTTGGGAATATATGTATACTTGAGGGTGCTAAAAAAGATTTGAATTTATAAGTAAAATCTATTACATGAAACCTTAATGCTCTAGTCAGACAGGTGGCCGCGGAAGCGTACCGGGCGCGCCTCCCTGTGCCCAGAGCATTAAGTATTTTGTCAGTTTACAAATATTTTGTTAGTTAACAAAGCAATGTACAATGATAAAACATACTACGCAAGTGTTTTTAGATTGCAACATTCATTGATCAAATACTGAGTCAAATACATTTTAATTTGTTGATAACCAATAATAAAACTGATCAAGTTATTTTCATTCTTAATATGTATATATTTGTTATATATCTTAAGTTGATAGTATATCTTTTTGACTCTTTTTTTGCAATGACTGGATTTCTTCGCCTATGAAACTGAGAATTTTATAATACATTTTTAATCACTGGTAAAATTCTCAGTAAAGTGTTTATGATAAAGTAAATTGCACAAAGGCAATTTGTGTTGCTTGCCGCTGTAAACATGGCTAATTAAGTTTACATTGGTCAAGTCACAATTTACTGTTGAAAATCTGAGGCCATGTAATATGCCAGATTTTCTTTTAAGATCATTTTAGCATTGTGCTTCAATGATTGAAGACTGGCTACATTTATTGGCTTCCATATACATTGACTACACAATGCAGGCCTTTCACCAACTGTATTATTCATTTTATTGGTTCCGGTTTCTTTTTTTTGTCTGAATTTTTGAATGTTAGATTGCGTTTGTGTAGATTTGATGTGTATGGTAGACAAATGTGATTTGAGAAGTAGCTGTGGCATGCAGTGATATTGTGCTAATTATGATTTCATAGTAAATATGTGTGGCATGTTTCAGGAATATGAGTTCCTAGACTTGTCAGATGTGAAAGAAGCGGAATTGTGCAGCCTGCAGTGTGCACTCTTCGAGCGGCTACCCGTGTCGCCCTCAGTACCTAACTCCGGTCGAGGCGACCCTGCTATAGGTAAAAACTGATAATTCACTGTCGTCTATTCTTATTGCTAGAAAGGCAAATTTTTAATCTTCATTTTCTCTGATTCTTTTTTTCAATACATGGTTTTTAGTCATTGTGACAGTACAAATGTAATGTGCAGATATCTCATCGTGTTCATCGAGCACGACGGGCACAGCAGGCGCAGCAACCGTGTCGAGCAGCCTGGACAGCCTGTCGGGCGGCGAGTGCGAGATGGCGCCCCACTCGCCGCAGCGGGGCGCGCCGCCGCCGCACGCGCCGCCGCCCTACCAACAGCCCCCACCGCCCTACGTGCAACCGCCACCCCACCAGTGGCCTGTGGCGCCGCCAAACGTATACGTTAGCCAGGTGACTGCTAACGTGAATGTGCATGGTTACATGGGCCAGTACTACCAGCCACCACAGCCGCAGTACGTACCGCCGCCACCGCAGGTGGAACGGCCGCAGCGCAACCACCGTCGCGACCGCCGAGCTAAACGTCCGCCGTCCCCACCGCCGCAGCAACCTCCGCCCTACTATTTGCAGTACCCGCAATACTACCACCCCGCAGCACAGGCACAAGGTGCGCCACTTTACCATATGCCTATGTATCAACCAGTTGTATATGGTCCCTACGCGTATCCGCCTTACGCGTATCCTGAGTATCCTATGCCAGTGGAGGGCGAACCTGGAGAGAAGGGTCCCGAAGAATACTCCCAGGAAGCTGTAATGGAGCAGGAAGCAGTTGACGCCTACTATGGAGGAGCACACTACGCTGGCCCACCGTACGGTCCGCCTGTTGATGGTGGTGTAGAGTATATGCCGCCGATGTACCTTCCGCCTCCACCACACCCGCCGCCCGTCCATATGCCCCAGCCTTCGCATCAATCTACACCACATCAATTCAATGTATATGCAAAGAACTTTGTACAGGGACAGGGTCAAACCAAATCTTACACACCTCCTGAAAAGACTCAGGACCAGAAAACTCCTCCAGCGTCTACTTCGGCTTCTGCTGCCGGGGCCTCTGCAGACTCGATATCCTTGAAAGACCTTAAAATTAGCAAGGGTCCCGGGAGCCCGAAACAGAGCGAGCGCCCCCTAGAGAACCAAGCAAAACCACCGATCGTCAGCGATAAATCTCCCACTTCTAAAACCGACACTGCCAAACCGGCCTGGGTACAGAGCGAGAATAAGTCTCCAGAGGCGTTGATCGGAAATCAGCCACCACTCGCCACAAAAACATTCCCACCAATAGCATCGGCGCACGCACAAGCCGCAGCCAGCGTTAAAGTACCTCCAGTCATCAGTAAAACAAACAAAGGCCCAGCGGCGCCATTCTCTGGAGCCAAACAACCACCCAAACCGACTGTACCCCAGACGGGCGCCGTTCCTGTCCAACAGACCGTCTCCACGCCTAAGGCACCCTTTGCCAACAGACAGAAACGTGAGGGCACCACTAACCGCTCGCCGTCCAGCGAAAACACAGAAATCTGTGAGAAGTCGATCACGCCGATGGATCACTCGAAGCGCGAACAACCGCTGCCGCCCAGTAAGGCGCCAATGCCGATCTCGATCACGCTGCACTCGCAGGGTCAGCCGCTGATCGTGACCAATAAGTCGCCGTTCGGGCGTCAGAAGGTGGCGCTACCAGAGCCACCGCCCATACCGCAACCGCCGCCGCCCGCGCCCACCGCGTCGGATTTCCCCCCACCGCCAACGCCACGCAACACCCGCGGAGAACCGGTGCCGCAGCCCGTGGTACAGGCTACCCCCGCACTCGGTAAGACCTGGGCCAGCCTGTTCTCCAGCAAACCCAGCCCGCAGCCGCAGGCGCCCGCGCCCGAAGAGCCACCAAGCCCCACGAGCCTGGCACCTCCGCCTCCCGCCGGCGTACAAAAACCTGTGGCGAAAGTGTCGCCCTACGACGCATCGCCCGTGCAGCCTGCGCCCGACAAGGGCTCCGTCGCCCCTCGCACCACCACCGTCCCCGTCGTGTCCTACTCAGAGAAGACGTCGGTGAACGCGGTGAGCGGCGCCAGCGCATCTCCTGCGCCCAAACCGGCTCCTGCGCAGCCCCCCGTGGACGCTGCAGCACCCACCCCGAAGGAGCCTACTCCGGCGGTGGCTGTTCCGCCCTCGCCCTTCTCTGATGACCCCAATTCCTATAGGATGGGAGGTAAGTTATATGCTTCACACATGTTCATGTTACATCTTTACTATTACAACATTACGAATGCCTGACTTCATAAGGTCCACTTCCATTTTACCTTCACAAAACGTGCGATACCTTACTCGCATAACTAGAGCTAATATGATAAGCCAAAAACAATAATTTGTGTCAATGAAATAGCATTACATCATTACTGAAACTTAATGCTAACTATGGATAGACTTGCAAGTTGATCGTGTTCTAGGTTTATAGATAGGCATAAATTTATTCTCTATAGTGTCCTACAATCAACTTATTTGAACTTCGTTAAAGTAAAAAGATGGGACTAGTTGTTTGCACGCCCTGGTTTTCCTACAACTACGTAACCAACAGTGCAGTATTTGATGAAGAATTTTATATATGTTTCAGAGTTTTTGTCAAAGTACCAACTGGACAATCGACCAGTAACCCTCCTGCCGCGTGGCCTCACCAACCGCTCCAACTACTGCTACGTCAACGCCATCCTCCAGGCACTGATCGCCTGCCCTCCTTTTTACAACATGCTCAAGGCTCTGCCTTATCAGACTCGACGTGGAAAATCTAGCACACCTGTTATTGACTCCATGTAAGTTTCTATTCTGAAATTGCTTTTACTTGCTCTGATAGCCTATTATTATTCATCGTATTATAACTTGTTTACTTATACATTTCTAACACTTTTCAGGGTAGAGCTATGCTATGAGTTCAGCCCAATAGCACCCGGAGCGCGCAACACTCGCGGTTCTCGCGGCGAAGGCACATCCCCCGTAGTGCCAGCTGGACCCCCTTTGGAAGGTGGCGCTGGCTTAAAAGTCCTCCGCGCCTTACGACCCTTCCCCGGTTCACAAGAAGGCCGGCAAGAGGACGCCGAAGAGTTCCTTGGCTGTCTGCTCAACTCCTTGAATGATGAAATGCTAGAGCTAATGAAGCTCTTTGAACCGGATGAGCCCAAGGAGGCTACTGGACAGCCGAACGGAGTCATTACTCAAGAACAACCACAGGAAGAAGACGACGATGATGATGAGTGGAAGGTAAGTTTTTTCTTTTAATCTGATGCATTTTAGGGCTTTTACTATTCTTATACTCAAAAATTTTGTTCTGTTTGCTTCAAAGTCACAACTTTTTGATAATAATTTTAAAACGCGGAACTTGAACTCAATGATGGTACTTATTTTTCGTCTCCGAACATCGACCGCGGTCGATCTCCTTGTGGACGACACAGACTGAGCAAAGCCGGCGGATCGAACTAGTGGTCGGCAATCGCAGTGGTGTGTAACCGTGACCGTGCGCAGGTGATGGGCCCACGCAACCGCGGCGCCGTGGAGCGGCGCTGGGCGGCGCGGCGCACGCCCGTGGCCGACATCTTCCGCGGGCGCACGCGCACGCGCCTGCACCGCGCCGCGCACGCCGCGCCGCACCTGCACGACGTCACCGACGCCGTGCAACCCTTCTTCACGCTGCAACTCGACATCGAGGTACGACTTATTTCAAAATGCGTTTACGACTCTTCAAAGGCAACGGAAAAACTCCATGGGCTGTAAAAGTTGTACTCCAATAAATAAACAAAGTCATCATCTACAAGCTAATCTAACTCGTCAAGACTAATTTAATACGCCTAAACACGATAGTTTTACTGTAAATAGGTGAGGAGTTAGGTAGTCTGCAGACTTCTGATTGCAGCATCCACAGACATATATCTAGATAGACGTCGCAATTGTACGTACTTCGCGTGCCCAAGTATGTGAAATTCACTTAGTTGCCGCTGCTACACTTCAGAACGCGCTCAACTGTTATCATAGAAAATGCATAATTGTGCCATTATAAACTGCAAAAGCACCATAACATACATAGATGCTATCCAAATATCCAGGGTAGCAGAGTTAGAAATCCGAGAAATAATAAACAAATCACAAAAATTTCACAGGAGGCCGCCATTAAGTAAACCTCTTCTGATTAATAAGATTTTACCATATTTTGTTAGCAGTAATATTTTCATTTGTCTTGCTATTCATCAATTTGATCATTTACCAACAGAAAATCATCTAGTAAAATTAATTAAGGCAGTTGCAAGTTTTTTTTTTTAAAAGCACACACTCAACATAGCCCCGCACTAGGGAAACCCTGTATGGCGGTTGCCACAGACACACATAGACAACCACAAATTACACCCAAACTCACGAGAGAAATAAATGTAGGGCATACAAATATTTCTCCCGGCCCGGGAATCGAACCTAGGACCTCTGCGTGGCAGTCCAAATTCAAATTCAAAATAATCTTTATTTCATAGGTAAGCATTATTACACTTGAAATCGTCACAATGGTCAACTCAACCGCTCATTTGTAAGGCAGATTCCCCTGAGGAGAATGAGCAAGAAACTCTAGGGGTTGCTCTTTGTAAATAACATTTACAATATTTTTTTTTTATTTGAAACATCAGAGATCGAGACTACCTCCATGAGCTAAACGGGTTACTACCACGGATTTTTGTCATCCAAGTACGCAGAAGTTGTATAATAACCTTTAGTATAAAGTTTTTGTTTCACTATAGTTTTAATCCGGCATGGTAACCGTTTGGCCACGGAAGCAGTTTAAAAGTTCATATATTGACGTGCGTTTTCATTATTTATTAAGTTAATCGATAAGATCTTCTATTACAAACAGGTGTTATTATATAATAAGCTCATTTTATTGGGAGGACAATAATATTAATATTTGACGTCGATTAAAAACTAGTCTTAATTTTTTTTTAGTAATCAACATTTTTTAAAAACAAGGAAAATAAAGGACTTAACTATCTTATTCTAGTATTTTCTACTATATTAATATTACGACTACATGTAATGAACAAATACTTGAACAAAAATTTCTATTTAGAATCGATTAATTGAATGGAATGCGCATGTTTACACGTATTCCGTTCAATCAATCGATTTAGAGCGAGCAGAAAGAGGTTTCCATCACTAAATAGATCTAGTGACGTCATAGTGGATACGAAAAATGTGGCACGCTTGGTTTTCATACAAATCGCTGTACTTGCGGTCTATCTAGATAATATGTCTGTGGCAGCATCAGATCAAAATTTACTTTATTTTGCATAGTGTATCAAATTTCAAGTTGATGTCAACAAGTGCAAAATACAATTATATGTTCATTTTATGACTGAGATCCCTTCACTGACTGAAAATAAAGCTGATGACTGATAAAGATGATGCCATTTAAATAGGTAAACATATCGCCGATATACTGCAAATTTCACAATTCTATATATCTATATATCTCACAAATTTGGTTTTGAAATAAACGCAATTAAAATATCAACAACGAATATTTCTTACAAATATCACCGGTCATCCACGTTGATTTGTAGCAGATGATTCCTTATTTAATGCTTTATCAAATCTATGTAAATAATTACATTTTACATAACCAAGTTCTGCAAAAATCTAGCTTAAATCAAAAGAGTGACCTACCTGCTGAAGATGTAGAAATTGTAATAATTGCTATTTATCAGGAAACTGGTTTAATTGTTGTCAAAATTATCGTAACTGCTTGTATTATTGCTTTTTATCTTTATCAACTGTAGCTATAATAACATCTGAGTAAAAATAAAATAAAAATCCAATTATGTACTTGGTTTTACCTGTACTTCTAAACATTATGAATTATGGTTATCTAAGGAAATGTACCTAGATATGCAGTTAGAATCGTATTTTATTTCAAATACGTAAACGTATTTTATTAACGAAAATTACAAGAGTTATTAAATTGAAAAAAAGGAGTAGAGAAGTGTCATCTATACAGACCGACAGCCAGATGAACTCACAGATTGTTGGACAGAGAGACAATTGCTGTAAAATATAAGTCCCCTCCTTTTGTTAATTAAAATGCAAAATTAGTCTTCCTCAGAACTTAAAGCATCTTCACTGATTTTGATACTGTGCAGTCAGGCACTCTGTCCCTGCATGCATCATCCGAATTAAAGCCTTTAAATTCGCATGAAACTCCTCTGGGATTCCTCCTTTTTCTGTGTTGCAGCAAATCCTTTTTTTTTGCAACACTTATTTTTTTTAGGGAGTTTTGTATAGTTGTAGAAGGTCACATGGAAAATAATTTTTCACGCTTGGATCAGGTAAATGCGTGCTCGTGCAGCGTCCTGCAGGTGGATTTTCAAGATTTTATTTCTTTTTGTTTCTCGTTCCATAACCATGTTCGTATTTTTTAGACTCCGACGTGTCATCCTTTTTTCCAAATTTTTTTGTAATATCAATGAAAGAAAATATCTCGGACTTGTCGTAATTGTAATAAATCTTTGCCTCTCCTTTTACATATCACAATCTCTTTATTTTTAGCCATTTCACCGTCAGTCCTTCTGTATCTTTACTAGGGTTGATTAAAATAAATATAGTGTTTATAAAAAAACAATTTGAATTTTTTGACGGTGTATTGTTTTTTCGTAACGTGTTTCTTGCCTTTCGTATATGAATTTTTAGATCTGGCTCGTTTGAATACGTTAATCCAATCCGACATGGAATAGATTGATGTATATTTCTGTGCAGTTTCCATGCTGTTGTAAATAAATAACTAATATAAAAATAAATCTATGTTTCGTCACCTGTTACTATGTCTCACACCAAATTTGACGCCCCTTCGTTGAATCTGGTAAGTATGGCATTGCACTAAGTGACGCGATCCGTTTTTGAGCCTCAGTCAAATTGTGTGGGATCCACCGAGACCACAGCTTTTTCACACCCAAATCTTTGTGTAGTATTGATTGTATTTGACTCATGCCTATGCCTAAAGATACCCGAATGTCATGGTATGTCACATGCCTGTCTGTTTTGATCATACGGCGCACAGCATCGACGTCTGTTGTTTACAGCAGTGGACAGGCGACCATCACGAAATTCGTCACTGAGATTCACACGGCCGCGTTTGAATTCTGCAAACCAGCTAATAGTCGTATTGCATGGTGCTTCATTGCCAAAAGCAGTTTGAAGTCGAGCGAAGCTCCGCTGAGCTGTTAAATTACACTTAAAGTCGTAGAAAATCATGCTACGAAAATTTTCACGAGTTAAATCCATGGTGATGTAGACAACCAATTTCTAAAATGGCACCACAATGTATAAACGAGTGACAGTACATATAGTACACAGTACACGGTATAACTCCTCTTTGTCATTATTTTTCTTTCTAGTATCATAGTTTTGCTTTACCTTTTTAAACATCCATGGAAGCTAATAGGAATTTTTTTGACCAACATAGTCAAACCGCCAATATTTTCTACAGATATCCACCTCGCGAAATGCGTGATTAACATGAGGTAATTGATTTTAGCTGTAACAGATGAAAGTCGCATTTCATATTAATCTTCAGAGAAAATAAAGTATTTGAATGTGACCATTATTCGAAGACGTCGGTTTTGTTGTTCTGTTTTACACCGTCAAGTAACATAATTTAAGCCATTGTAACGGCATGTATCTGTGGTACAGTTGAAAGTGTTTTGTACTTTAAGTCCTATTAAATGTTTATTTGTGACAAATATGCTTCAAATACTTAATAAGTATTAGTGAGAAAAGAAGCTTTATCATTATAATACGATATCATTATAGACAAATCTGTGGAAATAACAATTAAGTCGTCTTACTCTTTCGTACATGAGAACACTTGGAAATGTATGAAATAATTGGTTATCACGTTGACTATCTCAGAAAGTACGTGTCACAGTGTTTAACGGGGTTTCGTAAACGAAACGGGGCGAAAAATTATGCGTTTTCCTATTTTTAAATTTGTGAAAAATTTCGAGATAATTGATTTTGCAGTGTAACAACGATATGCAGAACCATCCCGATTACATCAATCGAAAAAAGACAATTTGAGACTAGTCCATCCGTTTGGGAGCTACGATGTCACAATCAGACACAGTTAGATACACAGTTAGTTAATAATAATAAATAATAATAATAATAATGTGTTTATTACTCACCACAAAATACAAAAACAATATCAGGCTTAGTAAGTACATTACATAGTATATTGTGAGAGCTGGTGCTTGATATAGGTATTTCACCTGTGTTACAAGTCACCAGGCCCCAACCCTAGCAAAAGGAGACTTAACAATACTAAGTAATAGAGTGCAGGTGAATGAAGCTAAGTTAATAAAAATCAAGTAGAAAATTAATAAAAACAAATAAAAACTAGGACTAGACAGTATGTTGTGTGTGTGTATTTGTGTGTGTGTGTTTGTGTGTGTGTGTGTGTTTATTATACATGCTTTTGCCTATTTGCCTAAATTATATATGTGTGGGTCTGTATTAAAATATAAATGTGGACTTTAATGAACAATTTACGGCAAAGTTAAGTAATTGGAATAAGCAAAGCCTCCGTGTCCTCATAACAAAGGTCAAGTAACCAGGTCACAAGTGCCTTCCGGCATTCATATTTATTCAGTTCATAGATTTTGAGCCTATCATGAAGT